AAAGAATGTGCTGCCAAGTTTTGGTTAGAATCAAGAAAAAAAAAATACATAAAGGTTGTTTTCAGCTGAACAAGCAAATCATCCCATGGAAGAGAACATAAGTAATATCCCAGACATTCTCCTGATTACCTAAAATTCAGAATTTCTATTGTACAAAACAATCCAAACGACAACATTGATGACCATTCCATATTATATAAACATATAACTGGACGCTATAAAGGTCAACCAAAATTTGAAAATGAACAATAGTCATACAAAATGATAGGAAAATACCCTGTGGGATGTCTAAAAATGTTTATCAATACATATGGGATGACATAAAACCAACACAAGAATGACAAAAAAATCGAGTTCCACACATATGTTTATAATTTAGGAAGTTCACATGGGATGCAATGGCTTTCGCTCCCATTTCACTTCCCATACGAGATTTCATCATCATTGTAATTTGAAACCACTGGCCGAATACGAGCAAGGTCGTCTGCAATGTGGGAAGGTCTTGGGAAATGAGTTCCGCCATGGAGCTGAAAATAGAATACAGACATTTCATTATCAGTGATCATTTAATGTTTTCACCCAAAATGCATAGGAAACAAAGTAAACCTTTACCTGAGTAAAATATGGAGCTGAAGTTCCTAACGTATGATATGGCATCAACACATGTTCACCTTGGGCATTGAATATGACATTAGTAGATAACGGAGGGATAAAAATGGATGACGATAACTGTTGGGCACACACTTGGCTTTGGACATCACCCTGCATCATATGACAACGTTAATGGAACTTGAAGTGAGCATGAAGTAAAATTTAATCAAATGAAAATCGTAAACTTACCAGCAACAGTTGCGAATATGAAAACGGGGTCGGCTGAGAATCATGAAGTTGTCCAGATAACTGAAGGTCCGATGCAGCCTCTTCCATATCAATACGGCCAACGGCTGGTCTCTTTCATTTGGATTTAGTCGAAGTAGCCTGTACATATACATGGAAAGAAATTAGATTTCGTAGCGAAGCTCCTTTTCTATTTGACGAGGTTAGTAAAGCAACTTACCTTAGCCTTCTTTGAAGTGGACTCCAACGCACTTTTCCTCCGAAGTTTCCTTGGCGTGCCCTTTCTATTCGATGTCATAGGATCTAATACATTCACGCCGCTAGGACTTCGTGACTTATTACGTTGGCCTAGTAAATGCATACTTGGCTGGGATTGAACATTACTACCATTACTCGAATTTAAAGACCTCACTTCTGCAGCTTGAGATTTTATCCAATCCTTTACCGCACAAGCCCGTCTTTCGTCATTTGCAACAAGGTCCGCCAACTCTAAAAATGTCTTACACAGATCATTGTATCGAATTTGTTCTGGAGTACTAGCCAACACATCATAGTTCACCGCAACTCTTATGTGTGGTCTACTGACGTCTCTCCTCCATCTCCTGACTATATACCTATCCGGCATTATCATGACATCATTACGATCTAATACTGTAATTGCATGCCTACAAATAATCCCTCGGAACTCAAACAAATGGCAGCTGCAAAGAACTTCACGTGTGTCCATTCGAAACGACACAAAATATGTTTTCTTTCTTCTGTCCTCGGGATACACTAAGACTCCCGAATCTCGTACTTTGTCCCAAAACATCCATCTGAAGCTGCAATGACATCACAATACACCTTCCCTATGAACTCATCTTGCACTTCCTTGAACTTGGATATTGTATAAATCGATTGAAATTGCTTTTCCATTTCGAAGGCAGTTGCACAAGGCACCATTTTAGAGTATGATCTAAAATCAGCTTGGAATTCTTTCTCGACCTTGCTCCGAAGTGCTCTTTCATACTATTCCACAAACTGCTTCAATGAGGTTTTCGAATGTACATATCCATCAAAGAATGCATTCATACTCTCGCTTCGTTGTGTTGTAGACATCCCTACCCAGAATGTTGTCTTCAAAAAGCACGGTACCCAACGTCTTCTATTATCATACAAGCTCGACAACCAAGCATTGTCATGCAATTCAAACTTTTCAACCATCGTTCTCCAACCTTCTTTGAATTCAGCAATACTCTGGGAATCATATACCAATCCATGTATAGATGAGAAAATTGAACCTTTGTTAATGTAATAACCAAACTTTTCTGGCAACTTTTTCATAATATACCATAAACACCATCTAGGTTTTGTATTTGGAAAAATAATCTCAATCGCATTTTGCATAGCCTTATCTTGATTCGCAATTATTCTGTGGGAAGGATGGCCATGCATGCACTTGAGCCATGTCTTGAACAGCCACACAAATGTACCCGTGTCCTCGTTCGACAACAAACCACAACCAAGCAATGTTAATTGTCCATGGTGATTAACTCCAACAAAAGGAGCGAAAGGCATGTCGTACTTATTTGTAAGATACGTCGTGTCAAAGGTAACAACATCACCAAACTCTTTGTATGCTTGCCTAGATCTGTTATCTGCCCAAAATATATTTTGAAGCCGTGACTCGTCATCCAAATCCATACTAAAATAAAATCCCGAACACCGTGCTTGCATATTTGAAAAGTAGGTTGTAAAGCTACGGCGTCTCCTTCTCCAAGTCGTAACTGTCTCACGTGTTCAATATAGTTGCGACAATCATTTTCAACATAAGTCATATTCTCATATCCACCTGCTTCGACAACTGCGGAGTTGTAACTTTTGTGCAATGACTCCTAACGGTTCTCATTCCATACAATTGGTATTATCCCCAACTATCTCATCATCAGACAACAATAAAGGGTCTTCATTCACATCTTCCATACTTTCACGTGTTGCAACCAAATTGGATGTACAAGATAATAAATACATTGTTAAGCCAACATGGATGTGATTTCACGCAGCAAATTTTGTTAAGCAAACAAATGTCTCAAACCATAGCAACGTCAAAGCGATCAATTACAGTGCTTAATAGCACTTTATTTTTTTAACTTTCAAAAATTTCCTTCAAATTAGCATATGGAGATAGATATTTTGTGGCATTCAGTTGCATATGAAGGTTTTGCTAATATATGGCGTTCATTTACGTGTGTGTGTGTGTGTGTTCATTCCTTTGCATAGGAGGGTACATATTCCAGCAACATTCATACATTTTTTTGACAGCATATTACGGTGTATTCATTCCTGTGGTGTGTGTTCAAAATGACAGGATTAATTTTATCCCCAAATGTACAAAGAAACGTTCTGTGGTGTGTTCAAAAATCATAGCATAGAAATTACATTTGGGCAATTACCGTCTCTGGGGTAGGAAATCGTCGCTACACTGGAGAAGACAGTGAACTCGCTTGCACCAGTGGAAAGAATGACGGTCACTCAAACACGAAAAATGCTCCAACTCCGGTGCTCTGCAGGTTGGAGAAGAAGTGGAGATCCAGCTCCGGTTGGAGAAAACAGTGAACTCGCTTGCACTAGTGGAAAGAATGAGGGTCGCTCAAACCCGGAAAATGCTCCAGCTCCGGTGCTCCAATGGTATCGGAGAAGAACTGGAGCTCCAACTCCGGTGCTCTTAAGGTCGGTGGTGTGTGGAGCTTTTTAGTTCTTATTTTGATGGTGAATCGAGAGGTGGTTCAGCAGCGTGTTTGATTCAATTCAGCTTTGGGGCTTCCATTTTGGTAAGTGAATGAGAGAATTTGGCGGGTTATGAAAGAAAAACCAAAGTTTTCCCTCTTTTCCTTCTGCCACGTCGGCAATGTTTTAAACTTCTGTACAGCTACTGTAAGAAGTCCTCTGTACATCTAGATTTATTGATTTTATTATAGTGCCCAAGTATGGCAGCCAACTAACGTTTAATTGGAAATGAGCTTGGGAGTAAGCACAAAAATCCAGATACTTTAAGCAGCGATATTGCTAGAAGGAAAATAATGTAATTTACACCAAACATTTGATTCTAAATTTAATTTATAAAATTGCAATCTAGACATTATCCACTAGAAGACAGACGGTTTTATCCAAATAAATACATACAACAATTTAATTAAACAAAAATGCATATTGCAATTAATTAAAAGAAACAAAGTTAGTTGCTTAAATTTTAGCCCCATGAAATGAGGCACGCGCACACCATCAAACCGTCAAACTCCAACGTGATCCATACTAACCTGTGCGGTAGAGGAAATAGGGTGGATAATACTCAATAAGATACGAATATTAGTACAAACCCGGATAATATTTATACATTCATATATCAAAATAAATCGTACTGTCATATCATATCTTTATTACTGATAAGAGCTCATACCATATTATATCATTTGCACCGGATGGCCATATCCATCATATCGCGTATCATATCACTAGTAAAATATTTATCAATATGAAATAACAAATATTAAACAAGACAAAACCATTTGTATGTCGTTATCCCACCTTGTAATCTTCAAATGCGTTTCTACTAAAGGAAAAACGCCAAGATAAAATATGTACTATAAATGCTATGGACAATTTCTTCTAGTGTTGATACACCAAAAATATGGAAAGAAAATTAGTAATAAAATATGGGAAGACAAGTTATGAAATGTTAAAATGAAAGAAATCGTGAGGTGATGTTAAATAAATAAAGGAATTTATGGAATCTTTCTTATTAGTTAAGTGGGGAAATGGAATGACAAGTGAGAATGCAAAAGTTTTTTAAAGGTAGTTAATTTGAGTGGAAGAGAGAGAAATTCCAAGATAAAAACGCGTTAAAATATTAACATACATATGCTTATAATTATACATATATCTATATATCTATCTATATATACATACAAAATTCTCATCTTACATTATATAACTATAAATAAAAAATCAACAATTAGAAAAATTCACATTTCAATTAAATTTGGACTGATAAAATAATTTGGGCATCTATATTGCTCCTTCACGATATAAAATAATTGGGGGTATTACTGGAGAAACAACAATTGTATAAATGGACCACATACAAATACCTCAATGTGAAAATGGTTCAGTCCACCTATGAAATATTTTCTTGATAATCTACAGTTCATTAATTAATTATAAGAGACATGATACAAGATGAGAATCTGCATAAAAATATAAAGTGGGGGTAAACCGAATTTGTGGAGAATAAACACAATTGCATGCTAAAAAGAAAAAAAGTACTCCAACAAGACTGTAGCGGACAACAACCTAAAGATGGTCGAGTTAGATTCCACTATGCAATTTTTTTTCCTTAAATAAAAAAAGTGTATATATATTTATACAGATACATATACTGGTCAAACAGAACCACAGACATAATCAATCATAAGGCTTGCTCCCGCTCGATCCAGCCATCATCCGATCGAGCCATTCATGCTAGGAACTATGGTGAAGGATTTGCAGGAAATGGTTTCAGCATCTGTTCTTGCACCTTTGAACTGTCCTTGGTGCTGCATTGGAATTCAAATGAGTATGTTTCTTCAGTTAAGCTTTCAAGTAAATAAAGACAGATCGATTTTGTTTAATTTGTTTCACAGTGACAGAGAATCACAACAATTTTATCAGGCATGTACATGTCGAATTGCCATGCTTTACAGGGCATGTTAGGTAAGCTCGACTAGACAAGGACTAAACAGTTTCATCAATCTTGTCTACTTTTGTTCAATTTCATCCAATCAAGCATCCCAAACATGCTCTAATTTCATTAGTTATAGGGTAATACCTAGTCCGATGGCTTCTGAACCCTTCATTATACGTATGCGTTTGCACGAATCAACAAACATCCTGGTTAGAGAAGGAGTATGCGTTAAGTGTTTTTAATTCACATAGGTAAATTTTGCTAACTACTGTGTATAAAAATAAGAAGAAAGCAAAAGAAACTTGAAAATGTAGGAACAACTTACTCCCACGGAACATCACCAACAAGCATCCAATCTCCATCTTTGTCTTCATAAGTAGGTACACAATCAGAACCATTCAAAAGATCAATCAATTTGCTCTCATTCATAAAGTCTTTTAGTCCTTGAGAACCACAATTACCTAAGTCAAGTGCAGCAATTTTCTGTTAGGATAATGTTGGTTAAATATTTTGTGTTATTAGTCAAAAGAATATTATTAATTCCCTATGTTTATATTTATTTATTTACCAATGGTGAAAGAGCTGAACATTTTGCTTAGGGCATCATATAGTTGTTGGTAGCTCTTATATATTTTTAAGTCCACTTTACGGAGGTAAGGTGCGCCATCCACGCTGACTTTGACAAATGCCATGTGGCTGCCACCTGATTTGTTGACATCGGTGGTAGTGGTATCCTTTTGGACGGCAAGGATGTTCTTCCTGAACGATCTAACTGGTGGCCATCCCACAACTTGGGCCCTGAAATTTCAGAAGTCCCATGTAAATTTACTATCATTTATTGTACTTCAAGTTAATAAAATAGTTCTCAATACATCAGATCTAGCAATCGATCGTATTTAATTACGCAAACGAATTCATGTAAATGGCTCCAAATTTACTGGGATTCTTATTGAATTTAATCAAACTACATGATTCAAGCATTTTTGAGGGGTGAACCGAATTTCTCTAATAGTGTAGCAATAAACTCTAAAGACCAGTTCAAGTTGTTCTACTTTGAGTACAGAAGTATGTTTTTCCTCTCCACGGACATAACAGTGCTCTATGATGCATCTACACGGATACGTGTGTCCGACACAAAAAAATGTCTAATATGACGACATGATATTTTTTTAAAAAGTAACAACCCAACATGTCGCCGATATGTTGATTAAATTCTTTAATATTCTTCATTTATATAACATAAATTTAATTTTATACTTGTTATTAATTTTTCTTGTTGAAATTTTTAAATATGAGTACCTATTTATGACAATGCTTCTTCTCAATAATTCTTACGCCCTCAACTTGTTCTAAACTTGCAGGACTCTGTTTCAAGTTGATGGTATGTAAATTTTATACTTCACACGCCCTATAAAATGACCTTCTATTTATTCGAGATTCAATACTATTAGACATAACTTAACACAACTAAGAAATTGATCCAAGTCTAATTCTATCCAATCTCAGCTGCCACACAACTAGTATAGCATTCATGGTGTCTTATCCAAATCTACTCACGTTTACTTTACTGAATACACAATTATTCAAAGGCGAATGTCTCCTCCACTAAAACTATGGGTGTTAAAAAAGTAAGATTCCATATGTTTTTTGTTTTATTATTGGATTATCCACGATATTATCAAGCCCACTTGAATATTGACAGGAGCCTCAGCCAGGTTTTAAAAGTGGACACATTTTCTTATCCCTTGAGAATAAATACAAATAGTACGATACCATCCGTCGGGTGATATCAAACTATTCATTGAAAAAAAAAAACACTAGAAATGAGGAAAGAATCATAATAAATGACTATTCTTCTAAAGTGTAACGAGAATTCAAGGATCAAGTATATAACATCAACAAATTATTCCGATAAATTTAACAATTTTATTTTATTTTCCCATTTCTGTAACACCTTTTTTAATTTCCAAATGCTACATTTTTCAATAACAAAATAAGGTTTAACTTAATATCCCGGAAAGTAACTTTTAAGCATGATTTAAGACGTAAAATCTGGATCTTCCTCTACATGAATAACATTACTCTGGAAAAATCCAAAGAAAAAGGAAAGATAAACGGGTACTAACTTGGTAGGTGGTTTAGCAGAATCACTGGAAGCCGGAATTATATTCTTCTGTTTCATATCCTCAACTTGATTTCCATCAGAACTGTTAGAGTTCAGATTCAATTTCAAATCAACAGTTTCCGAGAATCCTCTCTTCCCGCTACTATTTCTGGATGTTTCTCCTTCATTTTCACCTCCTCCGGCTCCGGGCAACCCCAGGCGGAGCTCCGTCTTCTCAAAATCAATCATTGTGCTCCTCATTTCTCCACAACCTGACCTATAAGACCTAATTCTCGCTTTCTTTTTCCTCAAATTTGCGTGCAGTTCTGAAAACTTATTCGAGCGATTACAGTGCTAGAAAAAGGCGAATTTAGCAGATAATAAGAAAAGAAAGTGGAGCAGGAACGGGTAATGATATAGGAAATTGCTGTGTGCACAGCACCGCCCAATGATATATTGGCAAAAAAAAATATTTGGCTTAGATATTTGGACGGATGAGATGCTGCCACATTGAGTTTTTGGATTGTCGAAATAGCCCCTATCCTGTCGGGTGAGTGACGTAATTAATGACATAATGTTATGCATTAGTGTATCGAGTTTAAGGGACAGAGCAGCTGGCTGGTTCTTTGGCCTTTCTTTCGGATGCACTTGCTTTATTTATTTATTTTCATTAATAATAATAAAAAAAGGTTAAAACAAAAATAAAGGTCCCAGGCTCCCAACAATCACATTACATTAAATATTACATAATAATAATAATCATGGATGAATTGAGAAAATGTAAAGGGTAGCAATACAAAATAACTAATCAAATAGGATAACTACACTTTAACTTAATTTTAGTTATTTCTTTATCTAATTTTATTTACAGAAATCAATGTTGCGATGATTTGTAAATAATGGTCATCACACGTGATCATCAGTTGCTAACTTGCTATATGTACAATTTTAGTGAAATAAAAATTGGGCTTCATTTATTGACTATCTTCATCGATTTTTGTTAGTCTAGATTACGAAATTGGAAGGAGCTATTCGATTGAAATCAAATTAAAATATAAATACTTAATTGAGTAAAATTGAAGTACAATTATATGATGACGTTAGGGTAAAGTATACGTACCACAAATGTACTTGTTTGTTTAATAATCAAACATAAGAATAAATAGCATAAAGTCAACGTGACTAATGAAGATATTGTATCAACTTGAGATATTAGATAAGATACTTAACATGATATTATAGTTACAATGATATTTAAGTTGAGTGACATTGTCATTCGTTTGCTAAAAAATGAGTACACGTTGAGTTCTCGTGGAAAAATAATTGTGATCTACACTCGAGGAGAGTGGTGATGATTAATTATTAATCAATAAACTTAATCCTATTTAACAGCTTTTAATTTTTAGATGGGTTGATTAAATTGTTGCAAATTTATTTTGCACACTGTAGGGACTTGTGTAACTAAAGATGCGAAGAATCTTTTAATAATTTTGCATCCAAATAAGAGCATTTCCATTACATCATATGGAGTATTGATTGCTATATATGTGACATGCAAGTTCAAAAACTTTTCAGTTTACGTCGTATTGATGTCTATTAATAGACATTCAGTCCAGAAATACTCTCCAAAATTTACAATATAATAATATTGTCTAGGTGTCTACTATTTTTTTTTTTTTTAAATTCAAAGAAAATCACATCTAAGTTTATATAGGAAACATAAATTTTGTAGAGTCTACATATTAATAGAACTTTTTAATCTATACAAAGCTCTAGACAATGTTTATTTTTTCGTCAAGAAATCGTTTGACAAAATCTTTCTCAAATAGTATATTCGAGAGGAATTTTATAAACATTGTTAATTTTACTTACGTAATAATTTTTTAGTATTGAAGATGCTCTATTCATATGTTTCATTTCAAGTGGTCTCATCTACATTCTTAAGGCCTTATTTGAGCCCCATTTTTTGGGGGAAAAATAAGTTTTAGAATAACGATTTTTAGAAAATGTGTGTTAAAAAATAGGGAAAATTTTATATTTAGATGTAAAATTATTTTACGAGAGAATGCGTGGTTGAAACTTGGGAATGAGTTTTCAAGAAATGAGCTTCGAAAAAAATGGAGCTCAAACATAGACTAAATTCAGTCCTAATATAGTATATGGCTTAAAATTTATATATCTTTGTTAGTTGGATTTGGTGCAATAATCATTTATCTAATCTTGGTATATATTTTCCATTGCTTAATAATGCAATTAATTATAATCAAAGTGGGCAACAATCCCGAACGTGATTTGGTTTGACCGTGATGGGTTGATTTACTTAAAACATTCTTTCCATTTACAGAAAATTCAGATTAACAAAGATATTTCACTGAGCTTAAATAGTTTTCCTTGACAGGATGAAAATGCTTATTTTAAGTAGGCCAACTTCCTTCCTAGAAGTTAAGGCCAAACACGCTTCTAAATAGCGAACGAAATTTTTGATAATTCAATTTATCTTTCTCAGGCAAAATCTATTTTTCTGATTTTTGTTATTCTCAGTCATATTCACAAGAGAACCAGGCCCCCTTTCTGTGATGATTAGAGAAAAAAGGATTCTCTATATTGATAAAAAAAAAAAAAATAAAAAAAAAGAAAAAAAAATTAAAAAAAAAAAAAAAAGGGTGAGAAATAAGATGTAAGCAATTTGAGAATGTAAAAAAAAAAAGAGAGAGAGAGAGAGAGAGAGAGAAAAGACGACACAAAGAACATGACTAAACAAATATTTAGTTAAAAATCATTTTCAAAATAAATAAATAGCTAAGTAGGTAATGCATTAGCATTTTGAAACGAGGTGGGCCAAAAGAAAGTGAATTTTGAATGGATTTTCGGACTCGATTCTGGGTGATATATGGTGGATTGCGTCTTTGCTATGCGTTATAATTTTTGAACTAAGTGGTGACAACGTCGTACATTAGTTGATACCAGGACTAGAAGTCAATGTATTTGAGTGAATACTGAAGCATTACCATACAATGAGTAGATAATATAAAGCTTGAAATTGAAGAACTTAAAGTGTACATGTGATGAATTCCCCAACTTGATTTTCTTAATTATAATTTTTAGGATAATACCCTACATTAGTGGGTCATCATTGGGTGTAGAGTTTTGAGGAGTATTTTTCATTGTGGCTGTCCAACATATTCATCGTTATTCCTTTACAAGTTGGGAGCCAAACAAAGGAGGGGGAATGTTTAATGGAGAGGAAAAAAGTCAAAATGGAGAAAAGCATGTGCTTAGCTTTATTGGAGCAGAGAAATGGTGAGTCGGTCCACTCTCATGTGCGAATGGGACAAGTAGGGCATGTCATCCTCGGTAAAGCATGACTCAAATTTAGTGAAATTTAATTTAAATAGTCACATGTTAGCGTGCGTTGCACGTAATTTTGAAATGCTTTATAAGTGTTGTAAAAATAATATTTGACGATGCATTAATATAAAAAATAGTTAAAAATTGTTTATGTGAAATGAACTTTTTATACAATTCAATTATTTATTTATGTGCATGTATAATAATTAACATTTATGTATATATATACCCTAATATAATTCAATCAATTAATACTTCGAGTTCATGTACACTTTATATGTTTTGGGGCTATATAATTAATCTAGAAGTCCTACAATTCACTTATTTATGTATGAGCATATATAATAACTAACGATTATTTATAGATATGTTAAATATCACATCAAGTCTTCGAGTTCATGTACACTTTCTATGTTTTGCAGGTCATTCAATTATTTTAGGAGTAAATAAAATATTCATTAATTACTATAGAAGTAGATAAATTATTCAAGTTCATGCACATTTATTAATTTTTGATATTATTCATTTAATCTATGATATAACACCCTTTGTCTAAATGTATATAAATTATTATTTTCTATATCTATTAATTCAAATTAATTAAATTCCATGTCGGTTCATGTATGCATCATTTGTCTAATTGTATATAAATTATTCATTTTCTATATTCATTTGAATTTTACGTTGGTTCATGTACACACCCTTTATCTAAATGTATATAAATTATTCTTTTTCTATATTCATTGATTCAAATTAATTAAATTCCATGTTCATGAATGAATTTGATCGTTTTTATACAATTCAATTATTTATTTACATACATGTTTAATAATTAACATCAACTAAATACATTTTGAAAAATGAAAAGAATGTATCATTGAAATAATTGAATTATAGTAGGGTTAGAATCGTCCAAAAAATGATTATCCCTTAATGTGATATTTAATATATTATAGATTATAAAAAAATTTAAACAGAGAAAGTAATAAATAAAATAAATCTTTTTTCTTATATTTCAGTTGATGTCAGGGATCCAACAAACTCACTTCCCTTCGTCACTACATGTCGGACCGGACCGATCGATTCAGTCTGAGAAATGTCTAAGAGAAATTGGAACAAATTGTTATCGAAGAGTTTGGTAAGGTAGAGATTAAAACCTGCGCTTTCCAGCCAGTAATATTACTTCCTTGACCATTATGAGACATGTAAGATTTTTGAAATAAATGTAAGGGAAATATATATATTTAAATTTTGAAAAAATTGTGTCATTTTGTTTTAAAAATATCATTTAATTAAAATTACAGTTTCACAATGATCTACCTGTTAAACCATTAACCCAATAACCCAATGATTTTTCTAGGTCGATAATAGAGCCGAGTCCGAAAACCATGCTGCAGGTGTATCCACCCATTTTGCGTCCGTTACTCTTAGTTGTTTAAATTTTAAAAACAAATATATGATTACTTAATGCTTTTTTATTGGGCAAGTACGGTGAAATTGAATAAATAATTAATAAAATATCTTCAATTTTTTTTCGATTAATTTCAACATATCAGGCGGGTATGCACTTTTCTTATATTAGCTGGTTACACTACAAATATTGGTTAAAATTAAAACCTACAAAAGAACAATACAGGAAAACATCTCTATCCTTATCTATATCTTAAATACCACACGGTTGCATTAATTTCGTACTATTGTTACCTTTTCATCTATGTCTTCATTTGACTTACTCCCTCGATGTCTATACTTCTTAGTTGTGTCCCTCTCAACTTGCCAAAGATTCAACAAAAGTAAGTGAAATGCCATGTATTATGTTATAATAATGGTATTGGATTTTTTAGTGTATCAAAGAGTTGTAGTTCTTATATTAATGTTATTGGATTTTATAGTATATCACTGAGATGTACAATATATCGATAGAGTTGTTTGATACCTCGATGTCGACTCGTCACATTCTATAATTGAATTTGATCTTTGAAGTCTACTTGATCTACAAGATTATGATTGCCCTTAAGAGCGATTGTAGGCCAAACTTTATATAGGAGTATTCAATACGATGATATCATTAATGGTAATCGACT